GAAGGGATTGCGGCGTGGCCATCCCCCCTGGGGGGTGATTTCTCGCTTTCTGTCTCTCTGTCTCTCTCTGTCTGGTGAGCGCATGCGCCCTATGGCAAAAACCTCTCCAAAAAAAAAAAAAATCTCTTAAAAAAAAAAAAAGAAGAAAGTTCTTTAGATCTACCATCTTATTAATTGATTCCTAACTATTAGGGATTGCTTTTTGGCCTTGGGTTACCATGAAAAATCTTTAAATACCAGGAGGTTTGGACGGCTCTGTTGTGGTTTTCGTGGGGCTCACAGAGTAATTAGGAACAGTGCCTGGCAGCGGGAGCATCTAGGAACACCGAGACCCCATTCTTCTCCCTCTCCTGTGAGACCTGGCCTGGGCTGTCCATACCTCATCACCCACCGAGCCTCCCTCAACCACTAGAGCTCAAGCCAGAGCCAATGGGAAGTTAGGCCTGGGAACTCCACCTCAGCTCTGCCCCCCAGCGCACCTCTTCATCTACTTTGCACTCACTGTGCACCCACTGCATGCCAGCCAGCAGAGTTCAGCCCTGTTCCCTCCGGGAAGGATCTCGGGTTGGCCTCTGATTCTTCTTCCTGGTCTCCAGGCAGCGTCTGCCTCCAAGATGCCTGGGGCATGGGATGTTGGCGAGGAGGCAGCAGCTGCACCGAGAGCCATCCGGTACTACCGTACAGAGTGGCACTGGAGGAGATGCTCAGCCTGTCCCTGCCAGGCGAGCTGGAGATGGATCTTGTGCCAGGCCTGAGAGAAACAGCGGGGGCATAGGTGAAAGGTGGGGCTGCAGGGTGGTCAGACGTAGGCCCCCCGTTCGAATGGACATCTAATGTTTGCTTTCCTCAGCTGCATCTGTGCCTGCTTTATAAATGAGCCGCATTAGGGTTATAAAGTCATACAGCCTGCAGTGCCACAGAGAGCCGAGGCAGCCGTCACCTGGGGATGGGGGTGCCATGGTTAGAATGTGGGGGCAAGCGTGTGACATGCACCCATGGGCCCCCATCTACCCTTGGAAAGAGGCCTGTACCCTCTCCCTTTGTAGATGAGCTGTTTGAGGCCAGCAAGGGGCTGGTTCAGACCCAGGAGTGTCAGAGTCTGCAGAGAGAGCTCCACTTCCCCTGCTCGGGGCCGAGACAGAGACAGGGTGCTGGGACAAACGGGCATGAGCCAGTGAGGCTCGTGCCACCCAGAGGCCTCCTGGCTCCACCCTGCTCTCCCCAGAGCTGCAGGGCCTGTCAGGGAGGCCGCAGTGGTCCTGTTAGGGTGAGCACAGGGACCAGCATCCAGCTCCCTGAACTTGATCAAGACCGTGTCTTATCTCCCCATCAGCTCCCTAACCCCCGAGGGCTGCTGGTTCGCCTGCAGAGACTGTATCTCCCTGCCTGGCAGAGAGACAGGTGTGGGAAGCCCTGGCCTGGCCCCAGGAGTCCTCAGTGCCATTCCCTGGTTAATTCCCCACCAGCCAGGTGGCTGTGGGTACGTGACCAGCCCCATGTGCCTGGTTTTCCGTTTCCTCGGCTTTGAAATGAGGAAGGTCCCAACCGTGTGAATGTGGAGGCCTGCCCAGTATCCGGGCCCATTTAGGACTCTCAGGACTGGGGCTGGTATTGCAGAGCCATGTCCGTGACGGCCGCATGGAGTCCTGGCAGTACCGTAAGCTCTAACATCTGTTTCTTGGGTTCAGACCTTGGCTCTGTGTCTTGCTAGCTGTGTGACTGTAGGCAAGTCGCTTGTCTTCTCTGAGCCTCAGTTTCTCTATCTATATAAAACAGGGATGAATAGAACATACCTATGGGGTGGTTGCAAGAAGGTAAGTTATTTATTTAAAGAACTGGAACAAAGTCCCTGATGCCAGGTCAGCCTTAGTCGTTACTGAGATTTCTATGCCACCTACACCTACTCCAAGCCAGGCCCTCTCCTAGGCATTCATACGTGTTTATTTCATGATCCTCAAAGCAGCTCTGAGAGGGAGGAGTGGTCACCTTGCAGCCCTCTTTGGAGATGAGTAATGAAGTGGGCGTTAGGGTCCCTTCTGGTCACACTCACTGAGCACCCGCTGGAGCTGCACTCTCGCCCTACCAGGCTGGCTTCCCTTCACTCTCCCAGGTGCTCTCTGTCACTCACATACACGCTCACGCACACACACAGCCCAGGGTCTAGAGCCCAGAGCCTGTGGTAAGCTGTGCATGTTCTCCCAAAGCCGTACCCCAGTTCTAACAGAGCCTCGTTCCAGAGAGAAAACGTGGTCAGGCAAGTATTGCTCATTCTGCTCTCGGAGAATCAGGTAGGGAGGATTCGAGGGGCAAAGCGTGGCCTCCTGCTCTAGAGAAGAAGGATGTGGTCCCAGCAACCATTCAGGCCTGAGGACATGGACCATGACAGGCAGGCTGGAGGGGCTGGGCAGACGCGCACCCCACAGCTTAGTTCACTGTTTCCCCAGAGCAGTTAGCGGAGGAGGCCAAACCCCCCACGGCTGTCCCCAGCTACCTGATTGTTCGCATTTGGGTTGGAAAGTCCGTTTTCCTAAGTGGATTGTACACCAGTCGCCTGGCCTGGTTTCCCTCCTGCACAGCGCTGGCGGGGGGGCTTCCTGTTTGTCTCACCTCCCGAGGTGCTGTTCTCTCCAGGGAGCCAGGCGCCAGGGCTACCATGTACCCTCCTACTGGGGAGGGGAGAGCCATGGCACAGCCTCACTGTGTTCTCGGAGGCCTCCTCACTTGGAGCAGGGAGGTATGGATTTGAGGCAGCGAGGCTCTGGGAAGAAGGTTGTCCCTTCCATACTGCCTCCTTGGCCCTTTATGAAGGCCTGGGCTTCCTGGAGGAGGAGGCTTCAGAAGGCTGAGCCAGGGAGCCTGAGCCTGGTGCAGCTGCCCGCCCTCCTACCCCCAAACCCCTCGTGCCCCTGCGGGCCCTGGCTCGTCTCCCGCTGATGTCAGCCTGGCTGGCTGGGGCTGCAAAGGGCAGCTGTGGCTTCGGGGCAGAGCTGGCCTGGTTTGCGCTCCAGCCTCAGCCCCTTTCCTGGCCCATCACGTATTGTGGCTTCACATTGGGAAACTGGAGTGAGGCCAGGCAGGGCCTGTGCAGGGGACCTTGGGGAGGGCCAGGCTTTGGCCTCCCAACTTCTCTGTCTGTAAAGAATCTCACAGCGCTGGGACTGGCTCTACAGCCCAGCTTCTTAAAAGTGGGGCAGGATGGGGAAACTGAGGCCCGGCAGTGCCAGACCTTGCCCGGGTTGCAAAGCATGTCTGGGGCAGGTCCTGGTTGCCGCCTCCGCCTCCCCTGCCCTTTCCCTCTGCAGGGCCCCCAGGTCGGGCCTCACCGAGCCTTGTCCACTCCCCACAGGCTCTGACGTGGGCAGCGAGGTGCTCCCTGACTCCTTCCCGTCGGCGCCGGCCGAGCCGCTGCCCCACTTCCTGCAGGAGCCACAAGACGCCTACATCGTGAAGAACAAGCCCGTGGAGCTGCGCTGCCGCGCCTTCCCCGCTACGCAGATCTACTTCAAGTGCAACGGCGAGTGGGTCAGCCAGAACGACCACATCACACAGGAGGGCCTGGATGAGGCCACTGGTGAGCCCACCCCACTCATCTGGGCACCCCAGGCCACCTCAGGCCCAGTGGGACACTGGCCCTGGGCCTGACTCTTCCTTCCCTTGGACTCTGCTCACACAGCTGTGGAGCCCCTCCGGGCCTCAGTTTCCCCTCTGGGCCTCATCATGGATCAGTGTTCCCCAAGGGTTGGCTGCAGACTTTAGGGACCCTTTGCTATAACTTTGCACGGCCCCAAGTCCCTTGCTGAGTACCTGTTCCCTTTCCACCCTCTTGCTTATATCGGGGAGTGAGTTCTAATTGGGAACTGGGGTTCCCAACCCCCCTACTCCTGCCCATCCCTGTGTCACAAAGAGGAGCAGGCCCAGGGCCCCACAGCACCGCCCCAGACGTCACAACATCAGTATTTTTACAGTCCCTTTCTGTGTGTGGAAAGTGCTACTGTTTTCCGCCTGTGGTAATGCTATGATATTTCCTGTACAGAAATCAATCGTTCTAGGTACAGAAGGAAGGTCAAGAATAGTAAGTAGATCACCATACAGGTGGTGTTGGGGTGTAGCCCAAATCCTGAGGGAGCAGAAAGAGTCCACAGTTGGGAAATGGGAAAGCACAAGGTCCCTTCCTTGTGAAGTGGGTGTGGAGCCCCAGGGCCCCCAGGAGAAGAGACCGAGCCTCGGGGTTCCTCACACCACCTGGAGAGTGGGCCATGCCGTGGTATCCCCAAGTCCAAGTGGAGCGGCTTGCCTGTCCCCAGGCCCATGGGCAGTGCTAGAACCTTCAACTTTCCCAGGGCTTAGGACAGGGCGGTGGGCCCGCCCACTCCTGGTCACCTGGCAGGCGGCCAGCTGCAGGGAGCCCAGCCTGCTCCAGCCTCAGGCCAGTGCCACACCCAGTGACTTCCTTGGTTTGGTTTGGTTTTTACTGACTCCTCTGTGATCCTTTTCTCTTCTTTCTCAGCCCTCTTTTTTTTTTTTTTTTAAAGGATTTTGCCTTAGGGTGCCT